ACCTATCCCTCCAAATCACTTCAAGAGTGGTCAGATTTTGGAATTTCTTTTTGAAAAAAAAAAAAAGTTTTTATTGATTTTCAGAGAGGAAGGTAGAGAGGGAGAGATAGAAACACCAATGATGAGAGAGAATCATTGATTGGTTGCCTCCAGCATGCCCCCTACGGGGGATCGAGTGTGCCCTGACCTGAAATGGAACCTTGATATCATAGTTCATATGTTGATGTTCAACCACTGAGCCATACAGGCTGGGCCTGGAATTTCTTTGTAATTTTCTTCTTGCTTGTATTTTTTAAAAAATATATTTTTATTGATTTTTCACAGAGAGGAAGAGAGAGGGATAGAGAGCTAGAAACGTCGATGAGAGAGAATCATCGACCAACTGCCTCCTGCACACCCCCTACTGGGGATGTGCCCACAACCAAGGTACATGCCCTTGACTGGAATCGAACCCGGGACCTTTCAGTCCGCAGACCGATGCTCTACCACTGAGCCAAACTGGTGCCGGCTTCTTGCTTGTATTTTTAAAATAGTAAGCATGTTTCATTAAAAAAGTAATAGTTATTAGTCTAAGAGATTGTCATGATCTAGCTGTTGCTATTCCCATTTTCACATAAGGAAATCAAGACTCAGAGAGGTTAGAGTACTTACTTGAGGTCACACAGCCAGTAGATACTAGAATCAGGAATTGAACCCAACCCAGACTGACTCCAGGTCTGACTTTCCATAATACCAATCCTGCCACTCCTGTAAGGAGGTGGGGACCAGAAGGACACACGTTTAAAACTTCCCATTCCTGCCTACCTGATACTTCCCTGCATACCCCACCGGAAGGAGTGGGATTTAGGTTTTCTCTCATCTCTAGATTCTTGCTGCTCAGAGTTGTAGCATCAGGATCACCTGGAGCTTGTTAGAAATGCAGGGTGTCAGGCCCCACCCAGACCCACTGAATTAGAAGCCGGTTTTTAAAAGATCTCTGGTGACATGATGCCCACCAGGGCCTGAGAAGCCCTGCTCTGCATCACACAGACTTCTCTCTTCCTCCTCAGTTAAGCCTTAGTGGCAGGTGAGGTAATGGAGAGAAAGGTCAGCCCATTCTTAGGTGATCTAAATTAGGAGATTACTCACATGCTTGCTGGGTTTCTCCAACTTTTAAAACTTGACTGTAGGCCCTAGAGTCTAGGCTCCAGAGAAATCGTGGAATGGAATCTAAAACAGGTGTGTGAGCCTGTAGACAATAGTTTGATAGTTAACACTTGGGACTCACTATAAGTTCAACATGAGAAAAAGAATCATTTCAAAATCATTACATTTTCTTTCTCTTTAAAAGAATTTATTGCTTTGAGAGAGGGAGAAAGAAGGAGAGATTTGTTGTTCCATTTGTTTATGCATTCATTGGTTGATTCTTATATGTGCTCTAATCAGGGATCAAACCTACACCCTTGGCCTATCAGGATGATGCTCTAACCAACTGAGCTACCCAGCCAGAACACATTTTCTTCTTCCAAAAAGAAATAAAAAGTTTATTATAGCAGAGTGATTGTAAATAATCTCATGAGCTAATATGAAAATGATATATTGAACCGATATTGAATTGATTCAAGACCTGATAAGTGGTTATATACATGATTATAAAGGTCTACCATCCAGTCTGGGAAGAAGTCTTTCTTTTCTTGTTTTTTTTTTTTTTTTTTTTTTTTTAAAAATATTTTTATTGATTTCAAAGAGGAAGGGGGAGGAAGAGAGAGAAACACTAATGATGAGAGAGAATCAATGATCAGCTGCCTCCTGCACGCCCCCTACTGGGGATGAGCCTGCAAGCCCACTGGGCTGGGGTGAAGTTTATATTGCATCACTCCAGGGCTCTGTCTCCCCCTTCTCCTGGACAAAGTGGTTCTTAGTGACTTTGAAGGGCAGCCCACTGAATTTCTTATGGACATACCTGTAGCTCAGGGCAGATAGACTATTCTCTAAGCAGGCCCTGTTATTCTTTAAGTCAGTTCACAGGAGTCTGGAGGCAAGTGCCATAGCAGGTGTGTTCTCTCGCTTTGTGCCACGTTAGGAAGATTTGACCTAATGAGACTCCCAGGCAGTGCCAGCCAGAGAGGGCAGTGCCAGGGGTGCATATCTAGTGCAGGCAATAAGGGGGCGCTCTCTGCACAGGATTGAAAAATAATAACAAATCTAGTAAAAGTCAATTGTCACCGTGTACTAGCAATGCTAAACAATGTCAGAGATAAAAACTCTTCCTTGAAAAAAAATCTATATTGTTCTAAAATAAGAAAAGATTCTGGTGAGCAAACCTCAAATCAGCACATTTTAAAATTACTTATCCTTGAATAAACATTATATTCTGCCTGGAAGTTAATTCGGAGGACTCTCAGTTGGATGGCCAACTCCTAACACATGCGCTCTTGGCTGCTCTGATTGCTGTCAGGTAAGTTTTTAAGGTTCAGAGTTGGAGCTTACATGGGCCACAGTGATGTCTCCAGTCCCCAATACACCACATCTCCCCTCAGTGTAAGTAGCTTAGAAATCACCAGTAAAAGACAAAGAAGCAGAACTTCTGTTATTTTAGGTGACCACTGGAATTTTTATTAGCTTTTAAAAGAATATGTTTTTATTGATTTTAGAGAGAGGGAGAACCATTAATCGACTGCATCTTGCACGCCCCCTGCTGGGGAACCCAGGGGTTGAGCAGCAACCTGGGCATTATGCCCTGACCGGGAACTGAATACTAGGCGACATTGGATGACACTCAACAGACTGAGCCCCGAAGGCCAGGGCTTATTAGCATTTAAAATGTAAAAGAATGAAACAGTGTGAGAACTATGAAGTGTAATATATATGTTTGGTAGGTACAAATTGGCTGTGTTCCTGCCTCTCCATCCCTTGGTACTATGTTAGAACCCTGGGCCTAGCCTTTGGGCTGGTCCTTGAGCCTGAGGCCTCAGCACTGGCTGCTGGGTCTTGCTTGATTGCCCTGCTTAGCTCACTTTCCTTTGGCTGCGGGTACATGTGGTAGGCACATCAGAGAACACCGGAACAGGGTGAGATTTTCAGATACCGGTACGTGTACAAGGAACTGCTAAAGGAGCTGGGAATGTTTAACTTGGAGAAGGAAAATGAAGGAGAAGCATCTTCAAATTAAAAAAAAAAACCATTTTATGATTTCATAGAGAGGAAAGAAGAGGGAGAGACAGAAACAACAATGATGAGAAGGAATCTTTGATTGGCATGTACCCTACTGGAGATCGAGCCCGAAACCCAGGCATGTGTCCTGATTGGAAATCAAGCCATGACCTCCTTGTTCATGGGTCAACTGTTAACCATTGAGCCACACCGCCTGGACAGTCTTCAAATTATTGAAGGGCTTGTTCCATTAAACAAGGATCCAGAGGGCCAAATTACGTTATAGGAGTCTGTTTTTCTGGAGAGCAAACTCAAGCTTAACATAAGGAGGAGATCGGCAGTCATTAGGACTCGCTAACAATGAACTGTTCTTGGAAGCAGCAAACTCTTTGTCACTATGGGAATTAAAAGTCAAAGTCAGGGATGGGATTTCTGTACTTGTATATTTTGTTGAAGGTTCTTCCTGCAGGCTCTAGAATCCCACATTTCTAAAAGCCCTTGTTTTCTTATACTTTAAAGAGCCATGTTCAGATTGTTAGCCCCAACCTAAATTTCCATACCCACTTCCTCCCAGGGAGCGCAACACTTCCCTTTGTGTCACCTAACTTCTTCCCGTCACCTCTCTGCTTCCGTGGCCAGGATTTCTTTCCCATCTTCTTTCCCAGTATGCGGTTGGGGTCGGTAGATATTGTGTATTATCTATAAGTCCCAAACCCACCAGATTTCACTCATCTGGGTGTTGGGTTATGTTTTGAAATATGTTTCCTTCATGCTAGCCCATAACCTTGTCTGTCTGAATCATGGCTTTAACATGGGGAGACATGGGACCCCAATGGGAACTCTGGGAAGCCAGAAGCATCTTCCCACATCTCTCCCTCACCCTCCGAAAGGGCAAGCATTGTTCCCCTACATCATTTCCACTCTCTCTGAGCCGGGAGACCACATCAGATAACACCCGTGATATCAGGAACCCTCTGATTCTTTTTAAAAAAATATGTTTTTATTAATTTTTATTTTTTTGGAGAAAGGAAGGTAAAGGGAGAGAGAGAAACATCAATGATTAGAGAGAATCATTGATTGGCTGCCTCCTGCTTGCGCCCTATTAGGGATGGAGTCCATAACCCAGGCATGTGCCCTTGACCTGCAATCTAACTGTGACCTCTTGGTTCCTAGGTCAATGCTTAACCACTGAATCACAGCGACTGGGCTAACCTGGTCATTCTTAATGCTGGAAAACACAGAACTATGACATATGTCATAATGTGCAGACCTCATTTTGTATAAAATATATCATGTTTCTTATTGCGACGTATTGTGGATAGTTATGATTTTTTATTCTTTGGGAAAAGGGACAGTTCATTTCAACAATGAGAAGGTCAGGCCACACAGAACGCCCCTCCCATGCCACCGTGCCAATAACCTGGGAATTTTGGCATTTCCACTCACTCCCTTTGCCTAGAAGACGTCCCGGTTTCTCAAGTGTCTTCTCCAGTGTGTGCCAGGAACACTTTGTGCCTCCCCTGTCACAGCGCTCCTCACACTGTACGGTGATTGCATGCTCCCCTGTCCCTCTGGCCCCTTGTGGGAGTCCCGGTGCCTGTAGGTCATCCACCTATACGGGCCGAGTTACAATGAAGGACTTACTAGTATATGCAGAGCTCAGTAGTGTCCCCATTTGGTTCACTTTAAAATATTTGCTAAAAAGATAGTTACAGCAAAAGGGCCTTCGAAAGCCCAGCCCCTCTCTTTGAAAAGTGGGAGTTTGAAGCTTAGAAAGACAAGCTTGGCCCCCAGACTTTGAAAGACCAGTGTGGTCCCTTTTCATGGTGCCCCCCGAATTCAGTCACGTTTTCTCCCTCTATTTCCAGCCTCGTTAACTTTGTGTGCCACACCTGCTTCAAGAGGCAGGAGAAGCTCCATCACTGCGGACAGTGCAAGTTTGCCCGTTACTGTGACCGCACCTGCCAGAAGGATGCATGGGTAAACCACAAGAAGGAGTGTTTGGCCATCAAGAGATACGGGAAGGTGCCCAATGAGAACATCAGGTCAGAGCGGGGCCCTGCAGAAATGTTTGGGATTTCCGGATATCAGGGGAGGATGGGTGGCAGTGAGCATGCCCTGGCCCATGAAAGCCAGGCTCAGTGCAAAGCGGGACAGAGCCCCCAAGAGATCGGATATGGCCACGTCTATGAGCTCCTTTTAGGTCTGGGAGCCCGTCTAAGAGGGAGGACGGGTTAATGGCTCCAAAATACAGACCCAGGCTGGAGCTGGCTGCAGACTCATTCTGTACGGCTCCCTAATATTTAATTTAAAAATATTGATTTACCAATGTTCAAAAATTGGAAATTTCACATTAAAAAAATTAATGGGATAATATTGGTTAATAAAATTATGTAGGTTTCAGGTATACAATTCTATAATAAATGATCTGTATATTATAGCATGTGTCTATCACCTCAGTTGTGCCCTTTTACCAACTTCTCCCTATTTTCCTCAACCACCAGTTCCTGGAAAACACTTTTCTATTATCTGATTCTGTAAGTTTGGCTTTTTTAGAAAAAGATCCCACATATAAGGGATAGTATGCACTATTTGTCTTTCTCTGACTTGCTTCACTTAACATAATGTCCTCAAGGTCCATCCATGTTGTCTCCAATGTCAGGCTTTCCTTTCCCATGCTTGAATATAAAAAATTTCACCTCTCCCTTTCCCATTTACCTGTTGATGGCACTTAGGCTGCTTCCTCATCTTGGCTATTGTGAATACTGCTGCAGTGAACATGGGTGCAGGTATCTCACTGATAACCTATTTGTCTCTAAGGCCCAGAGCCAGTGTTCCCTTCTGTGATGAGGAGGTCTCTCCCTTCAGCTGCACAGTCCCAGCGGGTAATTTCCTCTGATATTGGGTTGAAGTCTGTCACCCATTAGTCTTAATCTCTGAGCTTCGTGACATTCTTCCTAACATTTGGAGGTAGCAGACACCCCAGCCCAAGTCTTATTTTCCCCATTTCTATTCTACACTCCATGTGGGGACATCTTGGTTCTCAGGTGCTGGGGTCCCCGGCAGGGCATCTCTGTGGAAATAACCCCCTGACCCAAATGAGGCGGGGAAAGGCCATATTTTGCCAAGGGCGTTCCTCTTCAGGGGGTTTCTGTCCTAGGCCACCAGTCCTTCCCTGGTGCCTGGCCAGTGAATGGCAGAGTTGTCAAAGTGTCTCTTGGTTACAGGTTTCATCTTGTATCAATAGGTATGAGCTGTTTACTAGTTAACAGGGGGTCCTCTCTGCATACAGAGCTGGCTCCTTTGTTCAGCTTGAGTGTCCTTCACTTTCCATCATGCTACCTGATTCTATTTTCCGCATAGCATTTAAACCTAGTTTAATGATCTTTTAAACGTTTGTCTCCCCCACTATAAGAAACTTCTTGATAGAAGAAATTCTATTTGGTTCAAAACTGTGTGTTGGGCCTGACACTGTGCCTGGCATGCATTAGGCACTCAGTATGTGTTTGTTGAATGAATGGAAGCAGTGGGTCTCCCTAACCCCGCCCTTCCCCGCAGGCTGGCTGCGCGCATCATGTGGCGGGTGGAGAGAGAGGGCACCGGGCTCACAGAGGGCTGCCTGGTGTCCGTGGACGACCTGCAGAACCACGTGGAGAACTTTGGGGAAGAGGAGCAGAAGCAGCTGCGGGTGGACGTGGATACGTTCTTGCAGTACTGGCTGCCCCAGAGCCAGCAGTTCAGCATGCAGTACATCTCGCACATCTTCGGCGTGGTATGGTTTCTCATGAAGTGGGGGGGAGGAGGGGTGAGTGACAGCTGGGATTGTCCACCGAATAAGTTTTCAGATGCTGCCCGGGCAGAGTGGGGAAGAGGGGCCAAGAGAAGAACTGGAGGGAGACAGAGCCCTAGAATGAACAACTGTCATCCTGTCCTCTGTTTTTCTGGTCTTGCTTACTATGAGGTCATCTGACGTTGCATCCCAACAAGACTCTATGATCTCTGAATGGTAGACTTGGATGTTATTTTACCTTCTTGTTTATCCGCATGTCCTGTATTCTCTCCTTTCCACAACAAAGACCCAATTACCCATCCCTTCTTGCCTATTAGTCACCTTGAAAATAAGGCCCTTCCTTTTCTGAGGTCTGAGGGGAAGGATAATGGGAGTAGTGGATGTGGAAGCCAGAGAGAGGGGAGTGAGGGCCTCTCTCCTGCAGCCTTGAGCGTCCAGGAGGTGGGGGTGGGAGTCCGGAGGGGGGAGACCTTGGGCTGTGGGGATAGATGTCTTCCTTCTGGCAGGCCCAGCACCTTCTGTGGGGTTGGTGAACAGGCTGAAGAGGGAGGTTATTTAATAATAGCAACAGTATAATCAGAACCAACATCTCTAGTCTTTACCATGTGTCAGTGCTTCTGTAATGTCAAAGTTCCCCAGAGAAATAGTCAATCAACTATCTATCTATCTATCTATCTATCTATCTATCTATCTATCTATATCATCTACCTACATATTGAAAGAAATGATTTATTTTAATGAATTAGCTCTTGTGATTATAGAGTGTAAATTCAAAATCTGTCAGTAAACCTGAAGGCAGATCACCCCAAAAAAGAGTTGTGGTTCGAGTCCAAAGGCTGACTGCTGGCAGAATTCCTTCCTGCTCAGGGGAAGTCAGTCTTTGTCCTATTAAGTTTGTTAACTGATCATATGAGGCCACTTACATTGTGCAGGATAATTTGCTTTATTCAAAATCTACTGATTTAAATGCTAACCTATCCAAAAAACACCTTCACAGAAACACAGAATAATGTTTGACCAAATATGTGGGTACTGCAGCCCAGCCAAGTTGACATATAAAATTAACCATTGTAGCTTCACATGTATTATTTTATGCAATTTTTACAACACAAGGTGAAATTCGTGCTTAACATTCCTATTTTATAAAGAGAAAGCCCAGGCCCAGAGAGATTTACATGACTTCCACAGGCCACACAGTGAGCTGATGTCCATGGAAGAGCTAGAAGCAGTCTACCTGGTGCCAGAGTTGCTCCTCTTAGCATTGAGGCTCCACAGGCTTGGGTGTCATAGACCATCCTGGGTAACCCCAACGGGCCTGGGGATTGCAGCCACCGGATGGCATCATTACCAAGTGTAGAGCTGAAAGGACTGTAGAGATCATCTGGTCCAACTCCCTCAACCTACAGATGGGAAAATGGGTTTAGAGAAGAAAGAGATTTAACTAAGGTAACACAGCTTTTAGTACTGACAGGCTTAACTTCATGTATGTATTTGCTGAATGACTGATGAGATTGAATGGAGAAAGTGACAGTCTTCCCGTTTTATAGCAAATAGCCATGTGCTGTACATATCAATATACACATGTAAATGTATATTTTATTATGTATAGTGTCTATTCCTGTTTATTATTTATATATAAAGCAGAAATTTCTGTGCAGTTGTCAATTTAGGTTATATTTATTCTTATGCATTTTCATACCTTGATAGCAGATATTTGGAATCTTTTTCTATAAAGAACCACCTATTTTTAAGGGAAAGAAGATAAATTGAGTACCACACTAGTAATAACCAATTTGATTTGTCTTGGACTTATAAATACTAGTAAATGTTTTACTTACCAGAATTTAAAATTGTGAACAGGGGGCATAAAATATCCAGCAGACACAATAAAACAGAAATGTTAGTTTTCTCTTATGAACAGCTACAGGAGTTGAGGGTGGGTAAACAAAGAAAGCAGGGGACACACACACACACACACACACACACACACACACACACCCCGTAAGGTAGAGTAGTGCATGGACAGAGAAACCAAATAGATACTGGGGAAGATTCATGTGAGACCCAGGTACAGGAAAAGGAGAGACTTTCAGAATCAACATTTCTACCTTTGGCCTTTTTATTTTTATCTTTTTTTTAAAAATTGATTTCAAAGAAAAGAAAGGGACTGCTGGGGTTCTTGTCCCAGTATTACAAACGGTCCAGCAATCTGTAGAAAGGCTGTGCATAGATTCAATAACGAGGAGTTCAAAGATGAAAGATAGTTTTGAAAGGCATTGGGGGTCAGAGGAGCTTCAGCTAAAGGTACTAAAAACTCCCTTGTCTCAGGACCCCCTGCTTTTTATTAACACAATTTGTCCTAAAGCAAGGTGGAGATAATACACTTCAAAGGGTAGGGTTTCAAAGGGTAAGGTTTACAGAAGTATTGTCAGCCTATAGTTGTTCAGGTGTTTGGACAACAGGAGGCGATAACATGTTGATTAAGATGCCCTGAGCATGTGGTTGGCAAACTGTGGCTCGCGAGTCACATGTGGCTCTTTGGCCCCTTGAGTATGGCTCTTCCGCAAAACACCATGGCCTGGGCGAGTCTATTTTGAAGAAGTGGTGTTAGGAGAAATTTAAGTTTAAAAAATGTGGTTCTCAAAAGAAATTTCAATCGTTGTACTGTTGATATTTAGCTCTGTTGACTAATGAGTTTGCCGACCACTGCCCTGAGCTGTCTGGCAGCAAACAATTATCCTATTCAGGTTTGGGGGAGATGTTTTTTAGCCATTCCAACAGGCAACCAGATATGTGACTCAGCCCTTGTTGAGCCCCCAAGCTTCATTAACCTTTTGATGAAACTCTTGTAACCATAACATGCTGGAACTGGCTTCTGGCAGGAATAGAGAAACATTAGTGATGAGAAAGAACCATTGATAGGCTGCCTCCTGCTCACAACCTGGACATGTGCCCTGATCAGGAATCGAACCATGACCTCCTGGTTCATAGGTCAATGCTCAACCACTAGGCTAGACTGGCCAGACATTCTTTGGCCTTTTTAGAATACAACTACCCAAAACTTTCAAGGCAGTGCTGCATTTTAGCAAACATGGGCGTCTCCCATGGTACTAATTTAGAGGGTCATTTAGAATCACACAAAGAACAGAGGCTCTTTTGTTTCCAGACTCTAAGCATTTTCAGGATGAGACCGGTTTTCTACTTTTTAAAAAATAGCTTTCAGTAGAGAGGATGGTGCTGTGCCCCTCGTCTGTGTTTGTTAGCTGACTCTTTGTCTTTTCCTCTGGGTAGATTAACTGCAATGGTTTCACGCTCAGTGATCAGAGGGGCCTGCAGGCAGTAGGCGTGGGCATCTTCCCCAACCTGGGCCTGGTGAACCATGACTGTTGGCCCAACTGCACCGTCATCTTTAACAATGGCAAGTGAGTATATGTCTTTCACTGGGGATGTTGTGACGGGGATGGGAGGGGGAGAGACCTCATGGTGTTCTTGCCTTGACTTAAGGCAAAGTTTCATGAACTAGTATGGTTTTCAAATGGGAAAAAAATAGAAATTTTATTGTAGAATATTTGTGGTTAGGAGAAAGGTACTGGGGAGGCTAGTAGAACTCCATATGGATAATTTCTGAGTCTTTGTATGTTTCTTGAGGTTGCCTAGATATGTCAGACAAATCTCTAATTACTATTTTAAAACTTGATGCCTTGATCCCTAGAGGTCATTACAAAACACCAACTGAGAAGCATATATCAGTCAAGGTCCCAGCAGAAATCCAAAGGCATACTCAGAGTTTACCTGAATGGAATTTAATCAAAGGACTATTCAAGAAATGCGAGTAGCATTTAAGCAACTAATAAAGAACAGTGAAGGGTTCTGGGTCTCACTACAGCATGAAATCATTATTACATCTCGAGTGGAAGGCAAATGGAAGAACTACTGGCTTTGTGCTTGCTGAGAGCCACAGTGTGGCTGTGCCACTGCTAGAACCACAGTAAGGCAGAGAGGGAGCCAGGAGACGAAATAGCCCAACCAATCTCCTCCCATTGCTCAAACTCCATCTAGAAGCCAGAGGGCAAAGGAAACTGGTGATGAAGTCCCCAGAAGTCAGTTAGCGCCCTCCTCCAAATAAGGCACAGAGGGGACAGAGGGAATTTGGAAGTGGGGCACAAATGGAAAAGAATCAGCAAAGAGGATGAGCCCCAGTTGTTCTTGGCTCAGGTGGGGGGAGGGAGGATTTGGGGAATGAGGCCTGAGCAATTTTGCTTTTGCTCTTAGAGACAAGCTCTTATGACAGATACAAGTTGACTGAGTCATCAACAATGGGCAAGTTTCCCCCCCAAAACTTCCTCGAAAACAAAGACAATTGGAGCTTAAGCTTGAATCTTGGCTAAGAACCTTCCTATTCCTTCCTATTTCTGGAATCAAGGGTCTACATGACACAATAAGAAATTGAGAAAATCACTCAGGACAGGAAAGTTTATTTTTGATCCAAATGAAAATCTTTTCCCAGCATTTGTGTTTCCCTTCCTACATCTATTGGGGTCACTTCATGGAATGCTCCCCAGACAAGCTGTTGTCCAGGGTTAGCCTGGCTGATAGAGAGGGTCAAATTCACTCCCATATGGGGCTGGTCTTTCTTGAACCCCTTTCACTAAGCAATGGCAACCCAGGTTCTTCTTTCCCTACATGTAACTGCCCCAGGAAACCAAAACCCTTTTTCCAGATCAGCTCCAGTCTGCACGGGCTTCTATGCAGCCATGTTTTACCTGGGCTTCTTGGTTGTTGTAAAAGAGAAGGTGACTTTTCAGTCACTGTCTAGCTGCCTGCCATAGTGGAAAGAACACTGGTCATGATGTTAGGAGCCCAATTCACACCCCAATTATTTTATCTTCTACCTGTGTGACTACCCAGTCTCCATACACAGTTCCAACTCCCCATGAGATAGACACCAAAAGAGGCAACACTTATCTGTCACAAGGTTCTTCTTAGTGGGATAATATACTTTTCATACTTTTTTTTTTTTAAGTACTCTACTTTTAAATGCATTGTCTCATGAGTCTTATTGCCTGGTTATAAATGAGAACACTGAGGCCTGGGAAGGGAAGTCACTTGTTCAGAGCTGTGTGCTTTTGAACTCAGAACCTCTCATTCCAAATCCAGTGACATTTCCATTATATCAGGCACACCTTGCCAAGTGAGCCCAGCCACAGGGGTTGGACAACAGGGGCTGGGCTAGAGGTTGTTGTTATGGCCAAAGCTTTGATTGCACCTGAAATACTGTGCACCTTTGCTAGCCGTGCTAGATCTGTCAATGGTAATGATATCCATTTGGGTGTCTGTTTTGTCTTTCAGTCATGAGGCAGTGAAATCCATGTTTCACACCCAGATGAGGTGGGTCAGTTCTTTCAAACTTCCCTGCTCCTCTGACCCACCTCCCTCACTTGCCTGGTTCCCAAGATGCCCCTTTCCAAGATTCTGTGGCTGCTGTCTGTCTGTCTGTCTGTCTGTACCCCAAAGTCTCATCTTTTTTGAATGCTTTATTCTTTGTTCTTTAAATTTTTTTTTTTAAATCCTAACTTATTGGCCATTGAGCCACTGTTAAATGGGGATATGTTACTATGGTGAACTGCCTCTGTAAAAGGGGTGGGTGGGGTTAGCAGTTCACTTACCCTACCAATTTTTTCTATTGCTTTTTCAGAGAAGAGAGAGAGAAAAATATCGATGTGAGAGAGACACATAGATTGGTTGCCTCCTGCATGCCCCCTGACTGGGGCTGGGAATCAAATCTGAGACCCTTTGGTGCTTGAACCTACACTCTAACCACTGAGCCATGCTGGCCAGGGCTATTCTTAATGCATTTAATCATTTTGTTCTTTACTCACCAACTACCTGACATGCCTTTGTTTTCTTTTTCTTTTAAAAAAACATTTTTATTGATTTGAGAGAGAAAGGAAGGAAGAGAGAAAGAGAAACATCAATGTGACAGACTGCCTCCTGCACTACTGGGGACTGAGTCTGCAATCTATTGCACCTGCCCTGACAGGGAATTGAACTGTCGACATTTTTGTGTTTGGGACAACACTCAACCAAATGAGCCACACCGGCCAGGGCTACTTTGTTTTCTTCCTTTCTCCTCTTTCGCGCTTTACTTCTTTTGTTCCTCCCACCTCAAAGTGTGACTGTCTCTTCTGGCCCACATCATCTTGGCAAAAACCCAGGTTTTCCCCTCTAAACCCTGCTTACCATGAAGTGAGGACGGCTGGTACTACTGACCTACTAAAGGACTATGTGTTTGTTTATAACACCCAACCTCTCACCCAGACTGGGTTCTGAAAATCACACCCATAACTGTGATATTTTGATAAATTATTCATATTCTGTTTACTGCCAACTATGTATTTGTGGTTTAGGTTAGATTTTTACTTTTGACTTTTTAAAATTACAACCAAAAGGTCCCAGATGGGTCTTTTTTCAAAGGGAGCTTAAAAGTACTTGAAATACTCTTTGGATTTAGAACAAAATGCTGCATGTGAGTTTGGGCTTTGGGAACGCAGGGGCAGAGTGGTTTGTGCATCTGAGACTGTGTTGGCATGCATTGCATGTGACTTTGAACGATTCACATAATCTTCTGGGCATTTTGTTCCATATCCGTAGAGCAAAGGTCAAGATGAGAGCATCTCTAGGGACCTTTCCAATCTCTAAAAATATACTTAAATTACTTGCCTATTTGTGGCTCAATTGATTGAACTATAAAATTGCAGAGCATTACAGATGGGAGGGGTCTGGGGTCCAGAATGGAGCGGTAGTCACTATTCATTCCCTGATCCCCAATTCCAAGTTAGTAAATGGGGTATGCATTTTTCACATTTAAGTGACATTAAATTAATTTGGTTTTGAAAATTCACTAATAGCATTGAAATAATTTGAGACACTCTGAAACCTTGTATGAGCTGGCTTAACTCATGATGGAAAGTAAAGCTATTGGAAATCTTAACTTATGGGCCATTGAGCCACTGTTGAATGGGGATATGTCACTATATGTGAACTGCCTCTGTAAAAGGGGTGGGTGGGGTTAGCAGTTTACTTACCCTACCAGGACCAAATGCCAAAGACCCGCACTCAACCTTGGCTCTAAAGTTGCTCACATGGACCTACTTAGGACATTACCAGAATTCTAAAATTGAGGGCTTTTGTGAGCCTCACTTCCCATGCATTGCAGACTCAGGAGGCAAACTGGAAACCATCAGGCCAATACGATGTGGTGAGGTGTGAATGGCACTTGAGTTCTAATCCTGATTCGGTGACCATAGTGTGTGGGACCTTTGAGGATGATACTCCACCTCTCTGGGTACCAGCGCCCTCATTTGTGAATTGAGAGGATTGAATGCCTGTAGTTTGGACATATTAGGATTCCAAGCAGACCTAGGAGTAGAATCACTGGGCCCTTCCCTCCCTCTTGCCTTTCATCCCTTCAGTACCAGCTGCTGCCAAAAATTGGGGTGGGAAGAAAGGAAAGAAGGAACAGGAGGTGAAGGGGAACTTACATTTTGGCAGGTGCCATTTATTTGAGTTGTTTTTATATACAGTATCATATTCATTTGGCATGTCAGTGGACTCCACTTTGAGAGAAGGCATGTCACCTCTGACACTTGGACACGCATGTCACTGCTATTCAGTAGCTGCCTGCTTGATTGTCACTTTAGGGCACGTGGAAGGGGATGCCTTTGACTGAGATCCTTTTATAGTGCTGAAATTGTGTCCTGGCCTTTCACACGGTGTTGGACAACCACTCTGGGAGGCAAAAGAAATGATCATGGATCCCTCTGCAGATGTTCTGCCCAGCCTCCGCATCCTGCCGCTCACTCTCTGGGGGATGGTTTCTACTGGGTAGTGAGGCTCCAGGATCCTGGGGAGACACAGAAGCACAGCTCAGGGCTCACCACTTGTTTTCTGTAGCTTCTGGCCTTGTGCATGGCTGAGAGGCCCACAGGCTGATCTCTGCTTGGTTGGCTAACCTGGGTGTCCGTTTGACCACAGGCTTGTTTTCAGCACATTCTGCATCCATTACATGGCAAAGTGGGTTGTGCTGTAGGTCATTGGAGGGTCATGTCTAGGCTGAAAGAGAATTGAAATGCCATCTGCTCTTGCTAACCACCTTCAACCACAAAGCCCTGTCCTCCAATAAACACAAAAGTCAACAAAGCATCAGACTAACAGAGCCAGCCTTTGCTGAATAAGTCTCCTCAACCACTGGTAAGAAGGGACTTACAGAATAGGCCAAGATTGGCGGTGAATGAAGGTGTGTGTTTCTGAGTGAGCAGTCCTCAAATTAAGCAGGAATGACTCTTGAGTCTTCACTTGTTTGAGTTTTCACCTTATTATTATTTCTCCCTTTCTTTGCCAACAACCAATAGCTGAATGTACAGGGATGATTGCGGGCATGGAAGCAATATGTGATTTTCAGACCAAGACGGGTCCTCTCCTGGGAATCTATTTGAGCAGATTTCAGGGCGATTTATGGAACGAAGCACATGTGATTGTTATAATGAGTAGAGCAGAATTACTCAGAAAACTGTGCGTTAGGCCACATTTCCTCTAATTTTGGAGGGAACAGGAGTTTCCTCACCTGCTAGTGGAAGTCATTGTCTTTGAGACTCAACTCCTCGAACCCGGAAGAGCACAGATGCCACGGACTTGATTTACTCTTTTCCTTTTGCCCTGCTCCAGAATTGAGCTCCGGGCCCTGGGCAAGATCTCAGAAGGCGAAGAGCTGACCGTGTCCTATATCGACTTCCTTAACGTCAGCGAAGAACGCAAGAAGCAGCTAAAGAGGCAGTACTACTTCGACTGCACGTGTGAGCACTGCCAGAAAGGGCTGAAGGACGACCTCTTCCTGGGGGTGAAAGAGGACCCAAAGGTACACACAGCCCTCCTGGGGGGTGTTTGTGCCACCTCCACAGGAGCCAGGCAGGGGGATCCCTCAGCTAATCAATGCACCCTGCTCAGTAGTTCCCAGAGGACCAGACTGTAACCCTGGGGAAGGCTGTAGGGGTGGGGAATAGCACACTGCCCATAGGTCCCCGCTAGTGTCTGGGCACTGCTAAGTGCTAGGTGTTTGCGTTTGGGGATATTACGCAGTTTTCTCATCTATAAAATAGGAATGATGGCAACCGTGATAAGGGGTTGTTCTGAGCATTAAACACAATTACATATGTAAAGGGTGTGGCATGGAGAGTAGACACTCAGTAAATTTTAGTCTTCTCCTTGCCCCTTTGCCATTTAGATATGCTGGAAATTGCACATATTGAGACCAGATGGGCAGAGATTCGTTGTCTGGTTATCACAAAGATTTTCCAAGTCCCATGGAAATGGGTAATGTGGAGATGCTGCACTGTTTAAATTGGCTCATTTGCTTAAGTCCTGAGGAGCTGTTGCCTAGTGGATAGTGGGACCACTGAACAGTGGGAAGGCTTGCTAAGGGGCATGTCAGGAGCTCAGTGAAGCTGGGAGAAAGTGGAGCTGCAGGTGTTGGAGCGGCTGATTAAAGCAATATGCCCTCCATCACTTCCTGCGGTGGGAAAGCTGGAGGCTGCGCTGGGGCAGGCGCCACTCCTCCTAGTGCATTAGTCCCCATGGGAAGGTAGACTGTTGGAGGGTCAAGTGGATCAGCACAAATGTAGGGGTCTTCTCACTGCTAAGGGACCCAGAACAAAAGGCTTGTGGACCTTGAGATGTGGAGCTGGGGAAAGGGCTAGGAGTGGAAAAGCACTGGGCACTGAGTCAGAGTGGGGAAAAGTGTCTGCAAGTCTCCCCATCCCTCTCCAGTAAGGAGGCCTCAGCAATAGAAGTGCCTAAACAAGACCTCTGCCCGAGGCCTCAGGAAAAGAGACCTAGGAATAAAGGTCTCTGCCGGGCTAGGAATGCAAATATTCTAAGAGCAAGAGCAGCCAGCAGGGCCTGAGTGCTTGACTGCAACACCCTTCAGAGACTGCACCAAGTGGAGGGCTGCCTACCCTGTGAAGCCAACCAGAAGTACATATACACGGCAGAATGTTACTCAGCCACGAAAAAGAATGAAATCTTACCATTTGAGTCAGCATAGCTGGACCTAGAGGATATTATACCAAGTGAAATAAATCAGAGAAAGACAAATACCATATGGTGTCACTTATATGTGAAATCTAATGAACAAGGTAAATAAACAAAAAGCATTGAAATAGACCCATAAATACAGAGAAGAGACTAATTGTTGCCAGAGGGAGAGGGTTTGGGGGGTGGGTGAAAAAAGTGAAAGAATTAAGAACTACAAATTGGTAGTTACAAAATAGTCACAGGGATGTAAAGTACAGCATAGGAAATATAGTCAATACTATTATAATAGCTATGTGTAGTGCCAGGGGAGTACTGGAAATATTGGTGGGAATACTTTGTAATATATTTTCCTCAAAATGCTGTGTCGATCTTTGGCTAGGTTCTGGGGATTTTTACTTTTTTTTCATATGTTTTATTTTTTTACAGCTTCCACATGCCTATTTTACAGTCATAATAAGCAATGAAGTTATTTTGATTTTGGAAAAAAGCTTTATCAGATTTGCCTAAAGAAAAAAATCAGAGAAGAGCTTCTAATATGGATAAGCATAGCCAGTAAACGTTTCCTTTGGACATTAAACAAATTTGGCACTTTTTCTTTGAAATTATGAACTTCTTGATCATGGTACCTCCTTGTCTCAAATATTAAAAAACTTCATTAAAATAATTTTTTTTTTTTACAATATCACTAGACTGCTCAGGCAATGCAGCAAGCAGTGACAGATTTCACAGAGACAGCTGACAAAATCTCTCATAATATGTTTTTGGTGAAAACAAGGAAACATGAACTGGGTGCTAAAACACTGGAAGAGTTTGGATACCCATAGCCACAAAGGCTATCTTTCATGAGCTCCCATGGCAAACTGGAGTACAAAGGTTTAGTCAAGTCCTCAGCCTTTGCCTTCAGTCCTGGGCTGGCTAATATTTAAATCATTGACTTGGGCAAAGACAAAAAAGCAGGAGGATGTCTTTAGTATATATAGTGGACTTGACGTATGAAGAAAAACTGGGGAATACTTTGGGTGATAGAATAAAAATCTAAAAGGCCAGAGAAAATACAACAGGGGTCAATGTCAGATCCTGCACTGGGTCAAAAGCCCAGGCATGAGCACAGGGCAGGAGTGATTGGCTGTGGCAAGGCTCTGGGACTTGGTCAATGGAAAGGACAGCAGGAGTCAGAAGCATGATGAGGGAGCTGGAAAAGCTACAGGGATCTTGTGCAGCATTTATAGAAGCAAAGAATTTGGAATGAGGAAGGTGCCTGGCCGGTGTGGCTCATAATTGAGTGTCCACCCATGGACCAGGAGGTCACGGTTTGATTTCCCAGTCAGGGCACATGCTGAGGTTGCAGGCTTGATTCCCTGTAGGAGGTGTATAGGAGGCAGCTGATTGATGATTCTCTCATCATTGATGTTTCTCTCTCTCCCTCCTTTCCTCTCTCTCTGAAATCAATAAAAACATTTAAAAAAAGAATGTGGAAGGCATTAATTTTGTACTACACTGAATGTAAAAGATGCGACTATGCGAAGATGTAACTCAGTGTCCCTCCTTCTCTCAGCCCTCTCAGGATGTTGTCAAGGAGATGATACAGGTCTCCAAGGATACACTAGAAAAAATAGATAAGGCTCGCTCTGAGGGCTTTTACCATGAGGTAAGGATTCATGTTTATGGTGGATAAGGGTGGGGAGGAGGGCAGAAAGGTTCTCTAGGAAGGGAGGGAGATGGGGTGGGTTGAAAATGAAGGCTGCTTTTCTGAAGATGTTCTTTTGTTGAGACCAGGATTCCTCTTGCCCTCAAGCTCTTAGCACTCTTTAGGGATGTGCTAAAACTGGGTCTGGGAAGAATTCAGGCAGCCTGACAAATGTCCCTGGGGGCCTGTGGTTTACAGGTTGTCACCAGAAATGGAGAAATGAAGATGGCAGTAGGTTGCTTGCTTTCCCATAATTAAATGTATGTCCTCGCTTCAGTTTCCAGTCTCCAGTAACTGAGCCTTCAGCCCTGGCTCTCAGAGCACCAGGAGTTCTCAGCTGGCTGTATACTATAACCACTGAAAAATCCTACTGCTCAGATCCTGCCCCCTGACATTTTAGCAGAATCTCTTGGGGTGGGACCCAGACATCGCCATTTTTAGACCTCGAAAGTGGTTTCAAAGTGCATCAGAAGTTGAGACCCACTGCCAAATACTGACCTGCAGAGCACTTGTATTGAACTTACCCAGACAGCTTTTTAGAAACATAGATTCCTGTGCTCACCCCCTAAGATATAATTTATCTACAACAGACCACAGGGACCATAAATCCATATTTTTCCAAGCTCTTTAAGCAACTGTATCTGGTCTTCGTTTTCATTCTTGACTCACTCATTCATTGCACATTTTTGAGGCCTTTCTGGGGTGATCCACAAAAGTCATGCTCCTTGACTCCCAGGAGTTCTGTTAGACAGGGGAGACGGTCACATGAACAAAGTGTTATTGGACAATATGGAAAGTGTATGTCAGAGGCACAATAATGGAGCCAGAGCAATCAGGAGGGATCTGCTCGCTCCATTTCTCCGGCTTCTCTTCTCTTCTTCATTTCTCCTTTTCTCCATTCAAAATTGCCAGGGCACGTGTAGGGCTGGATGGCTGCCCCCCCGGTTTAAGGGAGTTGCTTTCAGGATGATTGATTGCCAGCCCATATGTTGCCCCACCCCACCCAGTTGCCTCAGGGGCCTCTGGGAGAGTCTCAGAGCAAACTTAGTTTCCACTCACTTAAAATAGAAAAGAGTGTGTGGCATTTCTCCATGAAAGTGGCAAGGGAAAGAGAAGAGAACAGTGAGCAATCCAAGTCTAAGGACCATCTGACTTTGTAGAGGGCGACCCAAGCTATGTCTACATGTGAATCAGTGGGAAACGCCGGACTCCAAGCTGTTTGGGGTCAGGTCCATATTATTTCTCACCAGTGCCAATGGGGTGATCTCCTGATGGGTCTTCTAGCTTCCCGGGAGCCTCCCTGTCTGCCTATCCATCCTGTGCACTTCAAGCAGGACAACCTGATTGTTTGCTCCACTCTGCATAAAGACCACCAGGGGCTTATATAGACTATGCAGGCCAGGGTCCCTCCCCCATGTAGTTGGTTTCAATTGGTCTGAGGGTAAGGCCTAGACATTGATGTTTTAATAAGGTCTCTAGGTTAATCTAGAGCAGAGAATCATAGGAGCAGAGACTCTGGTAAATCATAGGAGCAGAAACTCTGGTAAAATGTGAATATTCATAGTAATTATCTCATTGTACTGTTGTAATATATATAAATATATATGTAATATATATATATGTAATAGAAATATATATATATATATATTTCCTAACTCCCTGCTACTAACTGACTTATATTTGTGTTGCCCTTTCCATCTCTACATCTCACCCAATAAGATATTTTTCTATTCAAATCATGAGTTGTGAGCAATCTCCTCAACTTTCAAAGAAGGAGTGTCCAATGTCATTGTGCTGCTCCCGCATGTGAATTAAGCACGTGTCATGGCGTGTTGGTAACGGACAGGGCCTGTGTGTCTTCTAGGTTGTGAAGTTGTGCCGGGAGTGCCTGGAGAAGCAGGACGCGGTGTTTGCTGACACCAATATCTACATGCTGAGGATGCTGAGCATTGTTTCTGAGGTCCTCTCCTACCTCCAGGCGTTTGAGGAGGCCTCCTACTACGCCAGGAGGATGGTGGATGGCTATGTGTAGGTGACAATCCTGGGTGTCAGATAATCTGGAAATGTGCCTACTCCAGGCAGGACAGATAGAGGGCACGTATGCTGCTACCTTTCCCTCCTGTACCACAGCAAGCAGCAGTGATCAGGAATCTACAGAGGAAGGCTCTTTTATCACAGTGCTCCTATTAATAATGACCAAATACTCAGACTTGGTACCTAAAATAAAACCTATTTGTCATGCCTGGTCTTTCTCGAATCCCGCAGCACATCTATTATTTCCTGGTGGCTTCTGATTTCCTGATGGCCAAGTCCAGCTTGATTTTAAGTGTTTAAAAAGGGTCTCCTCCTAACAACCAACACAGAAATTCCTGTGAGCTTTCATTTATTAAAATTGTAAAGTATAAAATAGAATGTCCCTGCTTTCCTCTGGCGATGTCCTCTCTGTTCACATTGGTATATGAATTTGTATACCTGGCTAAATGATTACATTGGCACAAGAAGGTTCATTTTTGGAGGGAGAATGTTACTCATAAATAAAATGTAGGAAAACTATATGACATGTTAAAAGAAAGCTCTGTTAAGAAGGTGCCAAGGAGGGAAAAATGCAGTTCTGTCCCAAGATGGACATTCGAGTTATTTCCCCACTTTTGGCCTTTCTACTGCTTTCTTGGGAGAGGGCTCCGAGGTTCCTGTAGTAACATTCTGAGCACAATCCTGATTCCTTTCCTCATGAGGATGTGGCTCAGAGACTCAGGTGAGAGTCTCAGCTCTTACAGCTTCCCTGAGTGGAGTTCTGGCAATCTCCCACCTATCTGTGCCTCAGTCCCCTCCCAGTGCCTGCAGATGCTTCATGGCACTGGTGGGAAAGAAGAAGGACTTCAATGAGAGCACGTTATAACTTGTCAAATACTCTGCTGATGGAAGGGAGGCTGGGATTATGTGTTATGATTATTTTATTGCCTCTACAGGAAGCTCTACCACCCCAACAATGCCCAACTGGGCATGGCTGTGATGCGGGCGGGGCTGACCAACTGGCATGCTGGTAACATTGAGGTGGGGCATGGTATGATCTGCAAAGCCTATGCCATTCTCCTCGTGACACACGGACCCACCCACCCAATTACCAAGGACTTAGAGGCAAGTAGCACCTTGACGCTGGGCTTGCCTGCCTGCTCTGAGCTCTCTGAGGATGAGAGCTGACTTCTTAACTCTGCTCTGGGAAAGTCCCTAGATTGCTTGCTGGACCTGAAGGGAGCTCACAAGGCTTTAGCCCACTCCCCTTGTTTACATTCGAGGAAACTGAGGCCCAGGGAAGGGGAGTAAGCTGTTCATAGTCAAATAGCGGGTGGACGACAGCTGAGACTTGAACCCTGAGATGCTTCAGGCTTGACTGAGAAAACCTAAATAATAGTGTGTGTGTGTGTGTGTGTGTGTGTGTATACATGTGCAGCCATGTACGTACAAAATGTGCGTTACAGAATGAATGGACTAGGGAGCACAGACTCTAAAAGTAGCTGCTGGGAATGAGTCCCAGCTTCACCATTTTCTAGCCATGTGACTGCAAATATTAAATGTGTGGGCCTCAGTCTCCTCGTCGGTAAACTGGAGAAAGAGAAGAGAACTGTAAGGAGGGTGCAATGACTTGATGTGTAAACAGCACTAAGAACCGTGCCTGGCACAGGACATGCGCTCAGTCTCTACTGCTTTCTTGGGAGAGGGCTCTGAGGTTGCCGTAGTAACATTCAGAGCACAATCTGGGGATTGTGGAGACAGGGACCGAGGAGACTGAGGCCCACACATTTAATATTTGCAGTCACCTGGCTAGAAAATGGCGAAGCTGGAACTCAATCCCAGCAGCTACTTCTAGAGTCTGTGCTCCCTAGTCCATTCATTCTGTAATGCACATTTTGAAGGGCTGGTTTATTCAAGAGTGACCAAATTCAGGGAGCTGTCCTCAGGCAGTGCAGTGCAGTGCAGGGAAAGATGAAAGACTTGGTGTCATAAAGTGTATGAGGAGACAGACTTCATGCCTAGTGATTTAAGCTAGTCAAGGGCAGTTTTTGCCAGTCTTACTAACTGCTGCATCCTTGGCCCCTCAGCGATGCCTGGTGCTTGCTAAGTATGCTTTTTTTTTTTTTTTTTTAAATATGTTTTTATTTATTTAAGAAAGAGGAAGGAAGAGGGGCAGGGACAGAGACAGAGAAACATCAATGATGAGAGAGAAATCATTGATCGACTGCCTTCTGTACACCCCTTACCAGGGATCGAGCCCACAACCTGGGCGTGTGCCCTGACTGGGAATCAAACCATGACCTCCTGGTTCATGGTGGATGCTCAACCACTGAGCCACACTGGCTGGGAAATAATTATTTCTTAAAGAACACACGGGGAAGTGAGAACACACTGTAATTTCCCTGGTCTTTTGAGAATTTACCCCTTTCATGTATGAAGAAACAGAAGGCTGAAGGGATTCTCCTTGCATAAGGCGGGACCCAAGTGCAGGGCCAGGGTTCAAATCTAGATCCCCACTGGATGGTTCTTGAGAACAACCCCCCAGCTACTCTCGCAGGTTTCTGACTCCCTAACAAGTGACCCGCAGCCAGGACCCTAGGCCCCCAGTGGATGTACCTGCTGAGGGGGCACAGTTGAATCTTGGTTCCTGGGAGTCATTTACCCCATTGCCTGCCTTTTCCAAAAGGGCCAGGGAGAGCAGAGCCACCCTGACCTGGGGCTTGTCATCACTGTTCCTGGTGTGTCTGCGTCCCACAGGGCATGCGGATGCAGACGGAGATGGAGCTGCGCCTGTTCCACCAGAACGAGTTCATGTACCGCAAGATGCGCGAGGCTGCCCTAAACAACCAGCCCATGCAGGTCATGGCTGAGCCCAGCAGTGAGCCGACGCCATCTCTGTTCCATAAGAAGCAATGAGGACCTTCCTGGTGTGTGTGTATGTGTGTGTGCGGGAGGCACTGTGGCTCGGGAACTGGGGAGACATTCTGGAGAGTTCATCTGGTCACTCTCTCTTTGTTTTCATCTCAGTTTGTGCACACTCACTGCAGGAACTCGCCAGGCCCTTGGTGTGTTCTCTATCTTGAGTCTGATGGTCTTAAATCCGTATTTCCCAACCTTGCTCTTGAGCTCCAGCCCCACACACCCTCTTGAATGTTCTGCAGGCACATCAAACTCAGCACACCCAGAATAAAATTTTTTTCCTCTTTCTCTTTCCTATCTCCCCTCCCCAACATCTATTCCTCCTCAGCACACCTCCTGAGAACACTTGACTTCTGCTTCTGTTGTATCCTAGACTTCAGTTGAACCCATTCACTCCCCGGTCCCTGAGTGATCCATGTTCTCCATGCCTCTCTGAGTTTTCTACCTAAAATAGCTAAAACCTGCCGACTCCTATTCATCTTTCAGCATCCGTTTTGGAAGTCATCCCATCTGTGAAGTCTTCCTTGAATGCCTTCAATTCAGCTGGCTGCCCGAGTCTCTGGTATTACCCTCGAATCTTCCATCATAACTCTCGCCTCATGGCAGTCTAATTCTCTGCCTCCTCTGTCAGATTGTGAGCTCCTGGAGGGCAGGAGCTGTGTCCCTTTATTCATCTTTCTATCCCCAGAACCTAGCACAGGTCCTGAAACATAGTAGGTGCTCAATGTGTGTTGAATGAATGAATAAGTGAATGAATTTACTTCACAGAGCAGAAGATATAGGGACTGTGCATTTTGAGTTTTTATGTTACAGCCATCAACAAAGGCCATTAAATCCACTGTTTCCAAACAGATATGTGTGGCTTCTTCCTTTCTGACGATCTATTTAGGACAGCACTATCTATAAAACTTCCTGTGATGATGAAAATGTATTATATCTGTGTTGCCCCTAGTGGCAGGAGACTATCCAGCATTTGAAATGCGTCTGGTATGAGTGAGGAATTGAATTTTTAATTTTATTTAATTTCAATTAAAATAGCCAATGTGGCTGGTGGCTACTATTTTAGTGCAGTTTTAGAGAACAATTTAATGTAGTTTTTAAGATTAAGTTGAGAAAATCTAGAACAAGCATTTAAATATTTAATTTTTAAAAAATATTTTTTTATTGATTTCAGAGAGCAAGGGAGATAGATAGATACATCAATGATGAGAGAGAATCATTGATTGCTTCCTGCATGCTCCCTGCTGGGGATCAAGTCTGCAACCCAGGCATATAAACTGACTGGAAATTGAACCACAACCTCCTGGTTCATAGGTTGAAACTCAATTACTGAGCCACACTACCTGGGCGAGAATTAAATGTTTGAACTGTGAAGTTCTTAGAACAGTGCCTGGCCCATCACAAGCTCTCCATGAGCATTTCAACCTTGCTACTGTTGGTGTGTTCCTTCTCCTGATCAGAGAGTGAAGGTAAAGGGTAGATATAAACAGTGTATGCTAGAACCAGCTCTTACCACCTTGTGAGAGCTGATAGTATTATACACAGCTCTTCCCAACTCTACAGTCATCAATATCACAATGTTACCTTGACATTGGCCATGGTGGGAATATTTACACCATGGTAATTGGCTTAACATTGGAAAAACACATTAATCGGTAGTGTTTCAGTCTGTAAAAATGGGGTTTTCTACCTGGAAGTAGCAGAATGGATAGAGACCATTAAAGAAGTCTTTACTTAAATCGGAGTGAAATCTGCATTCTGAAACCTCAACGCCCGGGTCATAACTAACCAGTGTAAAACCTCTGATTCATACTCTTCAGACTAAGCCACCAATGCATTGACAGACACAACTACTAAAGCCCAGGTACAGCTACTTTTGGGGGAATTGCTCAGGGTTTACTTTGAATAGGGTGCAGGAGAGAATCCATGTAGCTGGGGCACAGAAAAGAGTGTAGCACCATGTCTGAGGGCAGTCAGAGGTGCACGCTTCGGGACCGCGGTGTGCACACTTGTGACTGATGAACTTCTAGTGCATGAAGGTGAACAGCACTTCTTGAAGCCCCTGGTTCCCTCCTGGCGCAGGATTTCATACGAATCACCAGATCTCAGGTTGTCCAGGATGTTCACCAAGCTCAGAAAAGCACTGGGTACAGCATGACCAACACCTGGGCTCACTGACTCTGGCATGAACTTAGCCCTCCCTGTCAGTCTTGACCTCTCCACCTCACAGGGCGTGGTCTCAGAACATTCTGGTCCGGGCACAATGTCTCAAAGGTCTTCAGGAGTTGTATTTGTTGCCTTTTGTTATAACAAATTACCATGAACTTAGTGACTTAAAACAATGCAGGTTTATTAGTTTACTGTTCTAGATCAGAAGTCCAAATGGGTCTGAAATCTAGGTGTCAGCAGAGCTGTGTTTCTCATGAAGGCTGTAGGGGAGGAATTTATATATTTTTTCTTTTTTTGTTTTGTTTGTTGATTCTCACCCAAGGATATTTTTTCCATTGGTTTTGAAAGAGAGAGAGAGAGAGAGAGAGAGAGAGAGAGAGAGAGAGAGAGAGAGAGAGAGAGAAGAAGGGAGGAGGGGGAAAAGAGAAAGAGATAGAAACATTGATTGGTTGGTTGCCTCCTACACAAGCCCCAACTTGGGATGGGGTGCAAATCGCAACCCTGGTACTTGCCCTCGACTAGGAATTGAACCGAAACCCTTCCGTGCACAGGACGACGCTCTAATCACTAAGCAACACAGGCCAGGGCAGGAATCTGCTTCTTACTTTGTTTTCAGTTTCTAAAAGCTTCTTCTAGAATGCCCCCACTCCTTGGCTTGTGGTCCCCCCAGCCAGCAATTGCATCCCTCCTTCTCTGACCCTCCTGCCTTCCTCTGTCACTTATAAGAACAGTTGTGGCCAAAACCGGTTTGGCTCAGTGGATAGAGCAGCGGCCTGCAGATCAAAAGGTCCCGGGTTCGATTCCGGTCAAGGGCATATACATTGATTGTGGGCACATCCTCAGTGTGGGGTGTGCAGGAGGCAGCTGGTCGATGTTTCTCTCTCATCGATGTTTCTAGCTCTCTATCCCTCTCCCTTCCTCTCTGTAAAAAAATCAATAAAATATATTTAAAAAAGAAAAAAGAACACTTGTGACTATATTGGGACCACTGGGATCATCCAGGAAATCTCCTCCTCTTACCTAATCACATCTGCAAACACCCTGTTGCCAAGTGAGGGAATACATTTGCAGGTCCAAGCTTTCACACATGGACAGCTTTGGAGGCCATCATTCTGCCACCCAGGAAGCTTGCTTTCAAGCCCTCAGGCCAGTCATGCAGGCACAGCTGCAAGCTCTGAGCAGAGGACTTGGGACTAGAGTCCTGATTCCCAGGCCCCAGGAGAATGACTTTTCTTTCCTTCCCATTACACTGACAGCCATGTCTAATCGGCCCTTTTCTCTTCCTCATTCACCAAATCAGGGTTCCTAAGTTCTCACAGCACATCACAGCCAGTCTTTGTGCTTCCCCGCTGCCCAGCAGTCCTGAATCCTCCTGTAGACCCTGCATTTTTCTGGGTACGGCAAAGAGCTGGGCAGTGCAGGGAGCTGCAATTTGAGCAGCAGCTAGAATTCTAGCTACATGTTTGTGACCTTAACTGGCATTTTCATTTGGCCTTGTAAGACAGTCCTTTGCATTTTATTCACCATCTGTCTTGTTAGAGTGTATGTTTCTTGAATGGAAAACTATTGCCTTCCTTGTGGTTTCAAATGTTCAGGCAACTCATACTCAACTTGTTTATACGTGAAATCACTCATCACTTCCCTCTATACTTTTCTCACCATCTCACCATCTAAGTAGCTCCCCAAGATCTGGGATATCATCTTAGATGCTTCCCTCTCCTTCACACCCTGTAATGAGCTTCTATAGCTTGTCTTTTGAGCTCAACTTCTCCCCACTTCTGATAACACTACCAACCCTTCCTCTAGAGCAGTGGTTCTCAACCTTTCTAATGCCTCGACCCTTTAATACAATTCCTCATGTGGTGGTAACCCCCCAACCACAAAATTATTTTTGTTGCTGCTTCATAACTGTAATTTTGCTACTGTTATGAATCGTAATGTAAATATCTGCATCTGTAAGAAGTACTGGAAAATCATTGGTGGTCACTCTATGCCTCGAGTATGTATAGAAAAGTGCTTGGAAGATTAAGTATGAACTGAGAGCCACCCTCCCACAAAAAAGGAAAAATAACTTTCCTTACTCTAATGGAAATCAGTTAAAAAGAAGAAGAAAAGCCAGGCTGACATGGCTCAGTGGTTGAACATCATCCTATAAACGAGGAGGTCATGGTTCAATTCTAGGTCAGGACACATGCCAGGGTTGTCCCTAGTGTGGGATGTGCAGGAGGCAGCGGATCAATGATTCTATCTCATCATTGATATTTCTATATCTCTATCCCTTGTACTTTCTCTCTGAAATAAGAAAAAATACATAAAAAAAAGAAACCCCACAGAAAATGTCTACTTTTATGTGGCTATGTACACCTAAACTGGCTCTTCTCAAATCAATTGGCTTTGAGAAGGAGCGCCCTCTGTTGGTGCGATGTATACAAAACAACCAGAGAGAGAAAGCAGAAGGAGGGAAAAGGGGATCAAAGTAACAATAGCTGATACAAGCAACAGCTGTTAATTCAATTTTCTTAAAGCAGGCTTCGGCACCTGTACAAAATCTAAGTCCAGCATTTAAAATGTATTCTCCTTTTCAGGTGAAAACATATAAACAATCCCCTTCTAAATCCGGTGTTGTTCCCAATTAGGAGACTGGGGATTTGTTCAGCTGCCTAAGGCCTGGCTGAGGTATCTTGTTTCTACCACTTCGCTCCTCCTGTGTCTTCAGAGTCCCAGGACCTCAGCTTCACCGTTTACCAGCTGGGTCGTCCCAGGTTAACTGCTTCTCCTCTCTGTGCCCCTACGTCTACTCACCGATGTTCCTCTGAGCATAACAGAGC